ATATAATCCATTAATTTCAATTTTTATGAAATTTATAAGAAATGAATTGGAAAATTTTTAATTTTATAGCAATATGTCATATAATCCATTAATTTCAATTTTATGAAATTTATAAGAAATGAATTGGAAAATTTTTAAATTTATATTTATAAGGAATCAATTAAAAATTAGTAAAAATCTTCGACGTTTTGTATTAATTATCAAATTTAAACCTTTATTTTAATCAAAAATTTCTAGATATGATTATGAGTTTACGAAAAAGCAAAAAGTCCACTTTGTCATCTTTTTTTTTTAGGTTATCGTTGGGATGAATGCGAATTTTCGCCGTTAAGTTGCTTGCTAAGGCGTTAATTAATTGAAACAATATGGAAAAGATTTATTGCAAAAAATTTTAATAAATTTTTGCATTGTTTATTCATTTATTATCTATCAGAAAATAAAAAAGAAAAAAAAACAAATATTCAATCATTTTTTCCCCTTTTGTTTGAATATTTCTAATAAAAATATCGTTCTGAGGTCAAGGGTTAAATGGAAAAAAAAATTTGTTAATACAATATGATTGATAATAATAATAACTGTTATTGGCTTGAATAGAAAAATAAATTATCGTTTTCAATAAAGATTTCATTCAATTTATGCTTGATAAAAATTATCATTCGTTTGTTCTTATCACATTTTTATCAGTAAGCATATTCAAACTTTCAATTTCAATGTTAATTTTGAAATGAATTGAATTAAACCACAAATAATTATCGAATTTTGTAATTATCAGATTATCAGAATATAAATCATGCGATATAATTTATGATGGAAAACTTCTAGCTGCAATCATTTTCCCGGTTGATACTCTCATCCTAAAATTTTAATCGACAAAAATAATATTTCAATTTATTGTATTCTTAAATTCCTTTATGCTAAAATATTAATTTTAATGAATGAATTCACATAATTTCATTAATGTTTTTCAATTACTTTCAAATGCGAATTGGAAATGATAATTTTAATTTGAAAAGGAAAAAATTCTTCCTGCTTTTTTAAATTCTTATTTTAAATTAAAAATTTATTGATAAAAGTAATACTTTCAAGTAAAGTTAGCAAAATTAATTTAATTAAGATAAAAACAAAGGAGACAATTGATTAAATATGCTGAATATGCAAAATTTATAAATAGAAAGAATAAAAAAAATGTGAAATTAAATAAATACAAAATTACAATGGGAAAATATTAATGACAATCTATGTTGACAAATGCTTATCGATAAAAAAAAAAAAAAAAAAAAAAGAAAAAAGAAATAGCATAGCATTCTGTAGATCACAGATATCAATGACGATCCATATTATCGATTGATTTTATAACTTGTTTATGATCATAGATATCAATGATCACTCATGTTATCTATTATATGATTTATTTGAGGTCATAAAATATTTCAATGATGACCAGTACTATCGATTAAAATGATGACCAATACTATCGATAGATAGGTATCAATAATGACCAATGTTTTAGGCAATAGGAATTCAATTGATGACATTGTTGATTATTTTCTTTGGGTGAAAATTTGATTGCAATTAATTTCCAAATGATTCAAAAAATATTTGAATTTTTACTCATAAGACTTCTTTTTATTCGGATAATTTTTATTTTATTTAATTTAAAAGTATTAAATTCACTTCTTTTCAATATACTAAATTGAATAATTTAAATTATTATCATTTATCATATTATAATATTACCAGTACTTACTTTTTTTTTGGTATCATATTTAGCTAAAATTTATCCTTCAAATCTTGTAACTGCATTATTTTCCAATACAATTGATTATTGATAAAGTTAAAAGGTCAAAGAGCAGAATTTCCTTATACAGTTGATTATTGATAAAGTTAAAAGGTCAAAGAGTAGAATTTCCTTATACAGTTGGTTATTGATAAAGTTAAAAGATCAAAGAGCAGAAAGGAATTCTGCACAATAAATTTGGAATTATTAGTTTGTTGAGAAATTTAAATCTTCTAATAACTATTTGAATACTTCTTCATTTTCTAAATATTATTTCTCAAGTTAGAATCAATTTTAATTTCCTCTAAAATTTGATTTTTAACACTAACCTTCGCCTCCCTTCTCCCATCTCCCTTTAAAACATCATTTCAAGCATTTGATAGTTGTGTTAAGAACTGTCCTATACTGTCACGTATCGCTTATTCCACTTTTCTTTTTTTTTTTTAAAAGATCAAAAAATAATATTTAAAATGAAGTGACAAGTGACAGATCATTTATGTTGCATTTTTCATTACCGTTGTTAATAAATAAACACAATTCCTATCATTTTGTTAAGAAAACAACGAAATTCGATGATTTGAAAAAAACAAAGTTTTCTTTTTTTTTTTAATATATTTAATTTAATTAGAATAATTTTATGCCTTTTATTTTATTTTTCAAATGCAAAAAATGTTTAATTTATTATCAAATTATATCATGTTTTTTTTGAAATTTTTAAAGTAATACAAAGAAAAAGAACGAAAAAACGAAAGCATTTTATACATCAAATAGTTTCATAAAAAATGATTCATTAAATTAAATTTAAATTATTTTTTAATCATTAAATCAATAAAATATTCATAGCATGAAGAAATGATCAATTTATTTTTACCAAAACGACAATAAATTGTATAAATTAAAAGAAAAAAAAAAGGAAAAAAGAAATATTAATGGTTAGATTAGAAAGAAATGAATATTTGAAATTGTTAAATCCTGAAGTTATAATAGTAATAATAATAATAATAATAATAATATTAATGAATTGATATAAAATTATATGAATTATTAAATTTTCATCTTTTTCCTCTCCTCCTCTTCTCGCTCATCCTTCATCCTTCGCCAAACAATATGCAACGAAATGACAAAATAAGCTTCGGGTGAATAATTTCCATCCAAAAATTCCGATTCAATTCAATTCAATTCAATTCGATCACTTCAAACATTTCATTCATCTATTCCTACCATACTCGACATTTATGTTGAGGATTCATTGGACTTCCCAATGGACAATTATATGCTTTTGCAAAATCTTCCGAATTCGATAGCGGTCCTTTTACTCTATAATTAAAACAATAATTTTAATCACTGCGGCTATATTTTAATAAGTCTTAATTTATTATCATTATTAATATTATTATGATTATCATTGATAATATTATTGTAATTGCTCCAAATGCTCTAATTAAATGTAAATTTCATTTCCTCATATCACTTTATACATATATTTTTTGCATGGAAATTTTAACATCACACCTATTAACATCATTATTCTTATTACTGCTACTATTAATATTAATACTAATTGGATATTATCATTAATTGCTGTCACTAGCTAGTAATAATTATCATTGTTTTTATAGATGACTTAATTCGTGTAATTCACATGTTTACAATAAATTTACCTGATTGATCCCGGTGCATTAAATTTACCTGACCGATCCCGGTACAATAAACCTACCCGACCGATTCCGGTACAAATAAATTTACCTCCCGATCGATTCCGGTGCAATAAATTCACCTGATCGATCCCAGTACAATAAATTTACCTGATCGACCTGGCACAATAAATTTACTCGACCGATTCCGGTACAAATAAATTTACCTGATCGATCCCGGTGAATGTTCTGATGTTCGCAATTTCCTTACCGCTTCTTTATCATTCATAGTACCACACCAAATCTAAAATTCAAAAATATTAACAATAATTGATGGGACATTAATTTAATCGATTTTTCACCCCAAATGCATATCCATATGGAATTATTTCTAATTTAATTCATACAAATGGCATAAAAGAAAATTTTTAATTTCAAATTTGAATGGAAAAAAAACCACTCAAACAATCCATTTGATGATAATTACATTCAAAATAATTGAAAGAATGTAAATTTTAGTCTAATATTTTAATGATTTAATTAACAGAAAAATTAATTAATAGATTGATCTATACATCATAGATTAAAATCATTACATTGAAGAATTAATGTTATACATTTACTATTTAAGGCAAATGTTTTCTCATTAATTTTTTTTTTTTTTGTATCATTAATGATTTTTAAAATTTTAAGCAAAATTTAATTATTTTATGTAACAAATATTTCAAATTAATTCTATCATTTCAAATATAATTTTATGCAAAATTTTTTTCTTAGAAAGAAAATTATTGCAAGTAAATTTAAAAAAGTTTCGTAATAAAAAAAATATAAAAAAAAATCATAAATGAATATGAATATATGGTAATATATTAATTTGTAAATGTTATATTAGAACATATAATAGATTTAAAAATTACCGTATAAATGAGTATTCATTGTTATTTAGCAATAAGCAATGTATTCTAAAAGCTTTACACTAATATGTGCTAACAAAGAATGCTTTATTAGCATAAGCTAATAAAAGGGCTAATCTTTGTAATTGTCAAAGTAATCCTTGAAAGATGTAATAGATATAAATCCTACAGATAGAAAGAATGAGGAAATTCTTCCTTTCTTTTATTCTCTAGATTGATATATTTTCAAAATTCTTTTTTTTGTGGTGACATTTTTTTTGGAAATAGCTTTATGCGTTAATTTTTGTGATTCATAATTCTTCAATGATTATGCTATGCTAATATTGTTTAGCCTTAATTAACTTAATGATTTAATTATCCAAACTTGTGGTAGAAATAAAAAAAAAATTTTATAATTCTAAGTATTACGTTACGT